TCAGATTTATACTTGACATAAGTATATTTTCAGTTTAAAAAATAACAACAAATTGGTAGTTACCTAATTAGAATGTGCAATTTGATTAATAAAAAAAAAAACTATTACTACAATTAATACTGACATTGTAATAAAAATTATAATCATATGGAAGTGAAGTAAAAAGGAGCTCTCTATCATACCATTGTACATTAAAAAATGTGTAGTACGAATTTTTATGAAAAATAGGGGCCGAGTTGTATCTGTATTATGAATACTGTATTATTTATATAGTATATTCTATAATTTATGATTTATAAACATACTCAAGTTAGTAATATATTTAAATTTCATTAATAATACAAGCTATTGAATTTTAACCAGAAAATAACAAATACAAAAACTTGAGAATAAATAAAAATTATTGCATATGTGATAATTAAATAAAACAAGAATAGTATGATTTTTAAAGTATAAATATTAAAAAACTTAAACTCTGTATATATGGTAACATCGGAACTGATCTAAAAGTAGCAAACAATTTAAATAAGAATATAAAGGTACATTTTCCAAGGTTAGACACGACATCAGTATATTCAAATAAAAAAGACAATATCTTTAGATTGTTTTTTCAAGACGCGTCTGGTCGCGATTACCGAATTTTTGGTCTCTGCGGTCGATGACACTACTATATACGCCGTGTTGACCATAAATAATTATATGGTATACATTTGAACCTCTAACTAAAAATATTTTTTACTTATATTTATTCCTTTTTTGAGTAAGGTAATACATGTAGGTTTTACAAACCCAAGCTTATAATCTCAGAAGTATTTATACAAGTATATACTTAATGTAATACTCAAATATTCTTAGTATTATTTAAAACGATAATATATTAGGAATCAATATTCTAGAAAGATTACAGCATTTTAATTTTGTTTTAACAAAAATAGCAACCTTAAAATAAAATTGAAACACATACACATATCAACTTATAAATATTTATTTTACGTACTTTGACATTCTCCTTGGATTTGGCTGACGATAACAATTTCTAAAAAATAAATATGATTTACTTAAATATATTTATTTCAATTAAAAGTTATTGCAGTTATTGCTATAGAACAGGGATGGCAAACCTTTTGAACACTGCGTGCCTAAAATTACCTTTTTTTTTTTTTTTTATAGAGCGTGCCATGAAAAAAATATTATATTTTGTTATATTATAATTTGATTGTATAATTAATGTATTAGTATAAAAAGGTTAGTTTAGGTACATAATAATAATAATAATAATAATAATAATTATAATAATATTGCTTTGTTAATTATTTATATTATATTATAGGTCCTATAATATATAATAGTAAAAATTTTCGCGTGCCATGGATTTGCCATCCCTGTTATATAATATATAATAATAAAAATTTTCGCGTGCCATGGATTTGCCATCCTTGCTATAGAATATAGCCTGAATATATTTACCTGAAGAAATAAAGTTCGTTGATGGTCATCATCCATGTCTAATAGATCATCAATATCTACTTCAACTTCACATTCTATACCTTCAACAGCTGGGTCCCTCTGAAATTAAATGAATTATTAGTGTGTAAATTAATGTACCAAAATACAGTTCCACGTGTGCATTCCATGCAAATATACGTACAGTATAGTGCCACGTTAGGCCGTCTACACACGGAGATATTCATTAGAAACTAAACGGGTTTGTGATTTAAATTACTTATCGATTACTAACGCATTAGTAACTCGGATCTGCACACGACCATATTGAAAAGTGATCGAAATCACTAGTTTATACTGATTGGTTATGGAAGGAGGACCTGTATCATCATTTTTTAACACCATGGATGATTCCAGTGATGAAGAAATTATGATTGCATATTACTATTACCATACCAAAAAAAATAGAAAACAAAGAAGATTTTGGGTTCATCCATACATTGAAAGAAATTTTCACCATCTACTATTTGTTGCCGCGCGAGAATTGAATCTTCTTCTACAAACTTTATGTTAAGTTTTTGTTCGTTCATTGTTTAATTTATTAAGAAAAATTAAACAAGAAAATATTTGATTTAAAAAAAAACACACAATTCGAAGTGACGAAGTCGAATCACTTGGAACTGATCACTCACGCATTTGTAACTATTTAGTAACCAGTAGCGCCGTATGTTGTGTTCCATTTCACAATATAGTTAGTGACTAAACGTAAAATGATTATTTAATTTGCTTAATCTATCCACCAATATAAATTAAATTACATTGCCATATCAAATCTGACCCGAAGAATGAGTTCAAACCAGTTGCGTTTATACAAATAAATTTCGATACATAGAGATCAACTGTTTTTTGCCATTTCTTACGGTAAGAAATATAATTCCCATTTAAAACTATATTTTATTCCTTTTTTTATAATGGCAATTATTTTCTCTGTTTTATTAATATACAGTATGTTTCACTCAAATAGTAACATGAAACATTTCCTTTCAATAGTGGTGGTATGACACGGGTTTTATTGAAGCAGATGTCTCATGACTAAAATGGGGTGGGTAAGTGGTGTTATTTAACAGAAAAGTTTAATACATAATTTGTATATAGAACATAAAATATTACTGTAAATTATTTGGTCTGAACCTGTTAATTTTAATGTTTAATTATCTAAAAATACAATTTAATTGTATCTTGTGGTTTGTAACTTGGAGTGGGTAGTCAACAGACGTAACTGTTTCATTGGTAAATAAATTTTGGGCCGAAATTCCAGTTACCTTAGATTGAAATGGGTTTTTCTTTTCGAGAAATATTAAAATACATGTTTCGTTATAATTTTCAAATTTGTAATCCTTTTATTGTGCGCATGTACAATAAAACTTACAATTTTTAAAAGAGCAACATACACACATATTTTCAATACCATATTTTGATACAATTTTTTTTAAGCAACTTTAATAAACAAACCTTTTTATACTTCAAAAATTAACTGAATTACAACAATCTTAATTTTAAATAAAAAATATTTTTGCTAAAATTTTCAATTTTCTGTATTTTATTATTTTAATATTATTATTGGTTGGAATATGAAATGCTGATTAAAAAACGCCATAGTTTATCTAATTCACCAGTAATATCTAAACATTAAAAAGAAATAATTCTTTATAAAACAGTTAGCCATCAACCAATAAGGCCAACGAGGCTAATGTGCAAAAATTATAGTTCAAAACAAAAAGAAGTAAAACCTGACAGGATTAGTTAAATTTGTGAAGATTCTTTAAGGTTAAGGAGAATCAGGAATTATTTTTAACTATATCCAAAGAATCTATGTCATTAGTATTAGACTCCATTTATATTCAACCTTGTTAAGCGTAAAATTTCTGATATTTTATTCGTATATGATTTACTAAATAATATAGGTATCGTAGCTCACAACTACCCAATACGTAACTCAAACTTATTTTTTGTACCTTTTTTTTTTAAAAAAAATGTGTGCTGATTATTTTTTTCCAAGAGCGCTCACCTTTTGCAATCAAATTTGTAATAATGTTGATTTTTTTTATATATCTCGTGATTGTATTAGGGTGAGGGCTTTGTCATTTTTTTCGAGATAAAATAATTGTATATTATTATTATTAGTATTATTATATTATCACTATTATTTAAAAAAAAATGTGAATTTGTATATCTATTTTAACTATTATTTTATATACTATTATTATGTTGATGTTAGAATATTGTACCTTATCTGTAAAGGGCTTGACCCGTAAATTTAATTAATTAAATAAATAAATGGGTCTGTCTATGAAAACCATCACAGGTAAATTGTAGTAAGTTATTATTTTAAAATTTTATAACATAAAATAATATAAATGTAGGCATTTGTAAGTGTATAATTTATTTTATAAAATAATCTTATTTGAAATATGTTAAAATAGTTATCAATAAAATACTTTTTTTATAGTATTGCTAGTCTAAAGATTTAGACAAAATAGTGTTAATCACCCAGTCGCAGAATGCATATTCCCGACTACGACAAGCCTACACAATTCAATTGTAATTGCCGGAGACCTAAATTCTTAACATACTAATTGGGGCTGTCGTGTCAATAATCCGAACGGAGTCAAACTTCAAACTTTTATTTCCAACACTTCTTACACAATAATTGCACCAAACGATCCTACCTACTTTCCTAGAGACATTAATAGGCTACCAGATATCATAGATATTTTATTAATTAAATCAATTCCATTTATATGCATACAAGAAACTCTCGCTGAGCTCGCCTGACATACCAGTAAAAAATACAATTAATTCGTCTTCACAATCTTATCAGTTTAACAACTCGTTAATTAAAGAAAAACCAAACTGGAACATATTCTCCGATCATGTAAATACGAATTTAATAATACTAAAAACAATACCAATGATCCTAGTGGCCGATCAAATGTCCGAACACCTTACCACAGTCATTGCGGAAGCCGCAAGAGCGTGCTCGAAGCCCACTCAACAAAACACGAAAAATTGGCATTTAACCTAAACGTATATCCTTCTTAATTCAAAGTAAATACCAAGCTAGACGCATTTGGCAAAACCATAGAAGTACGGCAAATAAAAATACATTAAACAAACTCACTAAAGAAGTAAAAATGGCACCACAAATCTATCATGTGTCGTCCTATGATAACTATTTGTCAAATATGCACCCGGGCGACTCAAATCTATGGAAAGCGACTAAAAGACTATTGAATCAAGATATAAATATAATCCCTCCTTTCCGTGCAGCAAATCAATTTGTGATATCTGATGTAGACAAATGTAAAGTTTTTTTCAGAAATATTACACAACACATTCAGGGCCGAAGATGAAAATCGGGGGGGGGGGGGTGAATAATACAAAAAATGCTGACTACAATTTTTTTACTCAATGTATCTAGTATAACTAACTATATGTAGTCGTATTTTTACTTTTTAACATGTATATACGTGTCAGTGTCGCACGTTCTTAAAATTAATAATTTAATTATACATATAATAATATTTTATATTGTATAATAAATAATTCTATAAATTATATTCGTGTATACACTGTATTATGAAATAGGTAATATTTGTTTTCCGTAAGTAAAATTAGGTTTTTTTAGGCTATAATGAAACAAGTCCAACCGCCGACTAGTGTTTTCGTTGGGGGGACACTACTCCAGCCTATCTCTGCTAGTGTACCCCAAGGCTCAAAACTGGGAACTATCTTATTTAATAAGATTAATTATTATTTATTTACATATCTGACATACCACAGTCACCATGCACCAACATTGCCCTTTTTGTAGACGACACAGCAATTTACACCGAATCCCGTAACCTTGAAGCGATAACTAACAATCTACAAGATCACCTAAATTCACTTTCCAAGTGATTTAAAAGCTGGAAAATATTAATCAACGCTTCAAAAAGCTCAGCAGTTATATTTAGCCTGCGTCGCTATTCTACTCCATTACTGCTAAAATTCGACAGCGATTCTATAACCTGGCAGTCGTTCGTCAAATATCTAGGTGTTACACTTGACAAGAAACTAACCTGGTGGCCACACATATCCACAAAACTTCAACAAGCGTGTCAGTTTCTCAATGTTATTTCCTATACTTCATAAAAAATCAGCTATACACAAAAAATTCTTAATATTAATATACAGGCAAATATTACGCCCACTACTTACCCACGCTTGCCCTATCTGGGGTAATTGTTCATCTGCACACATAAGAAAAATTCAAATTTTCCAAAATAAAATATTAAGAATAATAACAAATACACCATGGTTCATACGAAAAGTAAACCTACACAAAGACCTCCAAATATTAGAAATCCAAGATCATATAAGAGCCTTTGCTAAAAATGTCCATAGTTCACTTCAAAAATCAACAGGGTCATTAGACTACAATCTACACATACGTTCTCCACCCAATAGACGCCTCAAATGCGGTTGTCCACATGACCTCATTAGCTAACATTATACATTTTTTAAGACGAGAAAATTTAAAATTATAATTACTTGTTACTAAACAATTTATTAATTTCTATACATATAACACATATAATACATAATGTACTATTTTATATCATATTATATAATTGTTTAACTAAGTAGTCATTTATTGAATATATTCCATCTTATCATCATGTTAATATCGATAAAAAAAAACTCTTGTATATATCCGTAGATGTAGATATCCAGCAAGGGCTAGGAATGTCTTGTTTTAATAAAAAAAAAAAAATAATAATAAATAAATACGACTTATCATTTAGAAATAAATATTTGATAAGTTTTCTATAAATAGTTATATGATTATTAAAGTTCAGTTCTTAATGAAAAGAGTTATAAAGCAGTTGTAATAATCAACGATGGTGACGCATGAATCTAATAACAAAGACTGGGTAATTTTTATTTTTAGAAAGACAAAAATAAAAATAGAAGTATGAAGTTTCTTTACGGCATAATTTTATAAATATACAAAATTCAAATAAGTATGTTTTATATTTTAATTTTAAGTTAAGAGGACGTTGTACCCGTAATATTTAATG